CTTAAAGCCAGTTTTAGGTAAAAGCACAATAATTTATCTTGACGATATCATAGTTACCAGCGAAACATTAGAAACATTTGGAAGAAGTTTTTTACTTAACGATTTCAAAATAAGTTAAAAGCATAATTTATCTTGACGATATCATAGTTACCAGCGAAACATTAGAAACATTTGGAAGAAGTTTTTGCCTTACTTAACGAGGCCGGTTTCAAAATAAATGCAAGAGAATGCAAGTTTGCGGCGAAGGAATTACGATACCTCGGGTACAAAATCTCGAATAAGGGAATAGAGACTGATGATTCAAAAATTAAGTCAATTAAAAGTTATCCTCCCCCAAATACGGCTCAGAAATTGTCTTCATTTTTGGGCTTATGTTCCTATTATACAATGTTTATAAAAGACTTTGCGAAAATAGTTGAGCCTCTTCTAGTGCTAAAAAAAGAAAAGTAGATTTTCTTGGACAGCCGAGGCGAACACCGCGTTTGAACAACTAAAGAATGCCCTAATCAATGCCCCAGTCCTTAAATTCCCAGAAGGCGAGCAAGGTCTAGAAATTTCAGCGGATGCATCCGATTATGCAGTTGGAGCGGTGCTCTCCCAAAATGGGCAACCTATAGCTTTTTTTTTTTTTCGAAAACCTTGAATGCTACTCAGAGGAACTATTCCGCTACTGAGCGAGAAACGCTCGCTGTGTTATTAGCAGTTCAGAAGTTTCGGGTCTACTTCGGAAGTTCACCGATAACGGTCTACTCAGATCATGCGGCAGTGGGTCGCTTGTATTCAGGAAAAAATTTATCGCCTCGCTTGATACGTTGGACTTTAAAATTACAAGAGTTCAACTTAATTATAAAACATACTCCGGGAAAGGAAAACTTGGTCGCCGATGCCCTTTCGCGAATAAAAATTGATGAAGAGGGAAACACTATCAAGTGTGCCATGCTCACCTCAAGAGTTATTGAGTCCCGTGAAACAATAATCGAAGAATTAAAAAAGGACTCAGAGTTTAAAGATATTTACGCATACTTGGAAGACCCTGAAAAATTTTGAACATATAGATTTAACAGCTATCCGCAATAGGGCACAGCATTATGAAATAATCGACAAATTGTTATTTTACACAAAAGTAACTAATGAAAATCAGGAATACCGACCAGTAATCCCAGCGAGTCTACGTTTAAGTATCTTAGAGGAGTTGCACGATCTACCTTCTGCAGCACATTTCGGAATACGAAAAACACTAAAGAGGGTACGCGAAGCGGTTTATTTTCCGCAGTTACAGAAAGTTGTTACGGCGTATGTTAAGTCGTGCCATATGTGCCAATTAATAAACGATGTTAATTACAGCCCGGCCGGGTATTTTAAAAAACATAAAGACCACTTTTCCAAACGAAATAGTTGGAATAGATTTGCTAGGACCCTACCCTAGGACAAAAATAAAAAAAACAGATATCTTTTAACAATCGTTGACCATTTTTCAAAATGGGTAGAAATAGTCCCTCTTAAACGAGCTTCAGCTAAAATAGTCGCAGATTCTTTCTTAAATAAATATATATTAAAATACGGGGCCCCACTAAAAGTAATATCAGATAACGGAAAACAGTTTGTTAGTAGTATATTTAAAAATTTGTGCACAGGACTTGGCATACGCCATCTAAAAATGGTACCATATAGACCGCAGTCGAATATAGCGGAACACGTAAATAAGAATATTGTAAAAATTATCAGGGGATATGTGAAAAACTTTCATGACCACTGGGACAGCTGTGTCAATGAGTTAGGTTTTGCTTTGAGAACCGCAAAGCATGATACTACGCAGAAAATCCCCGCGGAGTTATTTTTCGGAAGAAAAATCATAGCGCCGTTGGATAAGCTATTCTTTGTACAACAGCGACAAGAAGAATTTAAGTTAAAAGACGTTCAAAAAATTATTGACGAAGCTATTAAAAGTTCTGATATAGCAAGACAAAAACAAAAGATTTATTACGATAGAAATAGAAGGGAATTGGAATATACAGTGGGACAAAAAGTGCTGAAGCTTTTTTTGTCCAACCAGTAAATATTCGTTATCGTCGGCACCAGAAAACAGAGTGGCGAAGTTTGAGCCCAGGTTTGAAGGCCGTACATGGTGGAAAGAATAAGAGAAGCCACGTTTTATTTAAAGGCCGAAAATGGCCAACAACTGGTGGCAAATATCGATCAGTTAAAACCTTATTACAGCTGCACTGACTTTAAAATATTGCAGGATTTATTACAGGATTCCTGGAAGTAAGGAGAGAAGCCGACCAGCTCAGGAGTACAGCTCGAGTCCCCCAACACAAAAAAGAAAGCAGAGCCAGCAAACTTCGAGCAGGGAAACCCATACCAGTAATGCTTCAAGCGCACAAAAAAGGAGGAAATTAGCACCGACAGATCAACGAGTCAGAACCCAGGATGCTGCAAAAACTCAAGTGCCATCGACCACACGAGGGAGGCCTGCTGACAAGGTTCCAGGAAAGGAGAAAATTCAACGACGAATTAAAAGTAGACGTAAACCACAGTTTCAGCATTCCAGCATCAACAACTACAAGGCAGACCCCAAGGAGGACCAGCGTAGAGACCGAAAAGCCAGAAAAGACCTGTAGACACAACCGTGCCGGAGCAACAAGTTAGAAGGGCCAAGAGAAGATTAAAAGACCCTGAAGGACGGAGAGCCCCACCGGAGTCAAAACGGAAATTGGCATTCCAGAATCCACAACCTGCCTGGAAGAGTCCCAGATTCCTACATAAAGGACAGAAAAGGAAAGCACTGGAACTGAATGGAACGGAACATCGAGAAGAGTGGAGGTTATCAGATTTTCTACATTTGATCAATTCTGTAAAGACAGGATGCAGGAGTACATAAAAAGATAAGTGAAAATTTCTTTGCTAATTTTTCTTTTTTCTTTGAAGTTCAAATTATATCATATTGTTATAAGTTGCTAAATCTGTTTAGAAAATTTAAATCGCAGATAGCGATATTTTGTAAATGTTCGTAAGCATAGATTTTTATGTTAGTAATTTGGCGAGAAGCTACTAGCGTTAAATACTTTTTGTTAAGAACTCGCAAGTTGCGAGAAGTAAATTGAATTTAGTCGGAAGACTATTGGAATACTATAATCTGTTAACGTAAAGTTAAGATTTCGTGTAAATTTTGGTAAAGTGTAATTAAGCAACTATGACTGTTGATGTAAAATGAATTCAAAAGTAATGTGTAAATATTTAAATGTTCATGTTCATGTAGAAATGTTTGATCTTTGTGTTGAAATATCGTAAAGATTAAAAGGACATAGAAAATAAATTTTTATTTCTGTGTGTGGGAGTCACGGAAGAATGGAATGTATATATATATATGTGTTTAATATTAGGCTCTCCAGTTAACACGTTTAAAAGTAAAATATAAGCTTTTGCTTACTACAATAGGAAACAGTTTTCGTGTAGGGAGTCTTGGCAGGTCTAGTGTGTCAAATTTTAACAAAGTTAGGTGTTGTGTAGCGGTAGTTTGTTCGCGGTAACACAACATAGAAGACCCTAAGTACATTTCAGTACATTTGCTGGAGAGCATGGGTGAAATAAATCTGTAGATGAATGAAAGTGCATAAGGGCCAAATAATGAATTAAAATTGCGTAAAGCTAGGATTTAAAGTAAAGTTTTGTAAAAATGCATTACTAATGACATTTCCTTCCAGATATGGAAGGATCAAGACCTGAAATAAGTCTAGCTGAATAAAGAGTATGTCTATAAGAAGAAGTTTTTATGTCAAGATATAATGTCCAGAAAGAATGCATTGTAAATTTTATTTTTCCTAGCTTTAGTCTAGCTTTTAGAATTGTTGTAAAGTTGGCCCTAAAAACGAAACTTTAAAGTCATTTAGTTAATGTAAAAGTTGGAAGAGTGTAGTTAATGTAAGTTTTCAGACTTTAAAGTCTTAAACAAGGTCGTTTTGAGACCTTATTTTTCGAGTATTTAAAGTCTGGTCGGAAGCTATGTAAGGATTATGTTAATTTTATTAACAGTTAAATTTTAAGTTAAAGTTCCTTTCCTGTCAAATTCTTAACTTCAACTTACTACTTCCGGCCAGAACATAGTTTTGGAATTTGCTGAATATTTAATGAGAAGGAGCGGTATTTAAAACACGAAGTTACTTACCGAGACAGAGAGAGAAACAAAGTTTCTGAACTACGCGTGTCTGCCTTTTTGGCCGCTCTCTCTCTCTCAAAGCTGTTATCCGCTCGGCCGTACTCAGGCCCTTGCTAAGCTTCGTAGTAAAATAGGTTAAGGGGCCAACTCTCATTGTACCTTGATAGCTTTGGCTATACTCAGTTAGTTAATCTTAGTTTTAGTTTAATTCTTAGTCTTTTAAGTTCAAGTCCAAAGTGTGGACTTTATTTGTTCAATCCCGGGCGGACGTAACAGTTGTTAAATCTCATAGAAATAATAAAGGGTTATTTACCCTTCTCTCTTGTTGTTTCCTGTCTTTGAACTCTAGCGATTACTCGCTTATCAGTTCCTAGGTTCCTCACTTCCAACATTAACTTAGAATTTCAAGTGAGGGACCTTACAAACAAAAGAATTTTTTTTCATTAATCTTATGGAGTAAAACTGTCTGTTTTTTGTATGCAGATTGTAGTACATTTTCTTTTTAATATAAAGGGTAATAATTTTAAATAACTGAGTAAGCCGCATTGAAAAATATCATAATTAAAATATAAGATAACCCAATTGTATAGACTAACACTTGGGTGGGCTGTAGCCCCAGTCTGAATAACTTTCACTGCACTTAATGTTACAGACATAATTACACTCTACCAGTTCATGGGAAGGAACTAAAGAATGCTTTCAAGAAATATATCACTCACTAAATTCTGATGAATAAACAAAAAGGATCAGCAAACAAAAAAGTGTGATGAAGAGGTAATATATACACTAAATAATATATGCTAACTATATTTAGTTTCAGTTAAAATAAAAATGAATTACTTACAGGAAGTTCCGGTAAATCCTTTGATGGCTTTTTAATGGGCCTTCCACTTTCTCGACGTGTTGCCACTTTTGCCATTTTCGGTTCTCTAGGAGGTGTCACTTCAGGTTCTACCTTCATATTAACAGCTGGTGGTGTAGTTGTATCTGCTTTTCTTTTAACACCTCGTTTAGCCTGAATTGTAGAAATAACTTAGGTTAGCATTCCTTTCCTGAGGTTTGGAAAATACTAATACAGCTTTAAAATTAGTCTATTATTTGAACTGTAAATAAATATATGTGCATGTGATTGATTTAAAGGGTAGGATAAGATAATTTATTGGAGAAGGCACCAAATATATAAAAAAATATAAAAGAGGATCAATAACAAAATTTTGATTACAGATCTTTAAATTTCTGATTTAAAATACTATAGTATTGTGCATTACAAAAACTCTCGCCTAAATCAAGCAAAGAATTTACGAGCTATAGATACAGTGCGTTTCATATTGAATGGGACAAAAAGAATAGCATAATACAAATTCTGTAACTAATTTACTAACCTGAAACATTAATTGTAAAACTACAGTTATAAAAGTTTCATCTGACAACAACATGGCACCATCCATGTAGAAGCAAACTGTTTTTGGGATATGGCAAGTCATCAATGTTTATCATCATTTAAAGACATTTTCACATAAAATTTGGTAAAGAACCACTGCATTGTCACAACATCAAACAGCGCTTGGAGAAGTTTCAGGACAGGAGCTGCTTGAATAAGAAAACCAGTCCAGGACGAACAGCAGGCAAAATCAAAGTGGTTGAAAAAAATCATGAAAGATTTTTTTATATAGTCCCAAAAATTAACGCATTCTGAGAGTTCTGAGCTCAATGTGCCTACGTAATGGTGTAGCATATGTTACAGAAACGTCTACAAATTCCGGCCATACACCTTTCAGATGGTGCAGGCGCTAAAACCTCCTGAAAAAAAGTTGCGCAAAAGTTAAAAAATTTGCAATATAAGCTGGAGGTGTAAATGGTTTTGAAGACTGACTTCTGTTTACAAATGAAGACACCTTTTACGTTTCTGGCAAATTTAATCGCCACAATTTACGATTTTGGGGCATGGAAAATTCACATGGTGTAATGGAACATGAGCCAGCGTTGCCACTCAAACAGGAGAATGAAATTCCCTGACTTTTCCAAGTTTTCAAGGTGTGTTTTAAGAAAATTCAAGTTTATCCGCATAGTGCACGTTGGCTGTGCTGAGAGATAAATTAATTATGGTACCACTTGAAAACACAAAATTCTGCCCATTACATATGATTATATATAGTCCCCAAAGCATTACTATTATAACTGTAATAGGAGTTGTTTTCTCCACTGAAGACTGAGATTAGAATCTGCCCAAATCTGGGTTAAAAAATGTCCTTTTTTGCAGACATTTTGCAGCTAAATGAAAGAAAGAAATCTATTTAATGATATTTTAAAATAAATTCAAGTATTTTATATTTATTTAGCAGTATACATAAGCAAAAAAAATGTGCTTAAAATTTCGTGATAGTATGTCATCATACTGGTAGAATTATAGTTTCAGGATTATGCCAGAGAAAACTGCCTGAAATTTGAATGTATTATTAACTAATAATAAATAAATTTAGATGGAAAAAGCAACATCAAATGATACAAATAACATTAAAATAAAGTTAAATACTTAAAAATTAAATTAAAAAATCAACGATTTTTTGGTTTATTACGATTAACATTAAATGGTTAGCCTAGATGATTATTATTTTTTATTTGACTGCAAAATGACAAATAAGGCATTTATTTAAAAAAAGTTTAAAAGATTTTGCGGTAAAATCCCATTATGCACTATGGCCTTGGAACAATTTTGAAAACTGTTGAAAACACCAAAATGACCCTCTTACTGCTCATCATACTGCCGCCAAATCCTGTGTGTACAGGTACTAAGATAGAACCGATTTTGTTTTATAAGAGATTGGGAAGGTATTTTCTTTCATTCAACAGGTACTGCAGCTAATCCCATGTGGTACCATTACTAGGATTAAACCGATTTTGTTTTATATAAGAACAGGAAGGTATTTTCTTTCGTTCAACACGCACTGCACATGTGAGTCTCTCGATTCCCGAGGTTACCGAAAACCTGCTTTGCCTTTCTAAAAGACAATCCGATTGGAGCTGCGAAAATTGGCTCTACGCCAGCTGCTTGAATGATTCTCAAGCGAAACATAATTCGCCAAAAAAATGACCACTTCCAATGTTGGCGCAAAACTCACTTTTTGGGGAATCACGATATGAAATTCCCGTCAAGTCCGGATTACAGACTTTTGACTGTACGATTGAGACTTATACTTCACACTGAAGTAAGATGGCAGTCGAAAGGTAACTGCTTGAAAAGATTTATGGAACTATTTGATACTGTTAGTTATTTTTTAAGCGACAAACAAGAAATGAAAAATCTGTCAACAGATGATGGTAAGGCATTTGCGAGTTATTTAGCAGATATCTTTGAAAAACTTAATATATTAAATAAACAACTTCAAGGAGCAAATAAAACTCTTGTCAATGCAAAAGAGAAGATATTTTATTTCATTACCTTTACTGATGTCAGGGCATATACTTAAAACAAAAATTTTGAAATGTTTCATTGCCTCCAAAAATGTGAAGTGACTGACACCACTATACAAGTTATTGCTGATCATCTGAAAATTTCATTGGCTGATTTAAAAGAAAGATTTTCTGATTTCAAACAAATTGATTTCCCAACTTGGATGATGCAGGCAATGTTAGTGGATTTGGCTGATATTTCAAATATGCAGTATCAAGAAGAACTTGCAGAAATGTAAATTGACGAGTCAATTAAAACTTGATTTAATACAAAAGGAATGATGGCATGGCTTTATGAGGAAACCGAAATCAAATATCTAAATGCAACAAAATGTGCAAGAGAACTATTGCCATCGTTTCCATCTTCATATTTAGTGGAATGCGGATTTAGTGTCATAAATGATTTGCTGAAAAAAAAAAAAAAGAGAGAGAGAGAGAAATAAGCTGGGTATAATAAAACGGGGAGCTTTGAGATGCAAATTAACTAAATTGGAACCTGACATAAAATCTCTTTGCAACAAGCATCAGGGGCAAGGATATCACTAAATAATACATAATTACTAATACTTAAAATAATATAGAAAAAAATTTCATTAAAATTATTTTGTACTCTAATTTTAGTTCTTCATTATATATATCGAAAGTTTATGGTGTTTGCTCAAAAAATTTCTTGGTGATTTCTTCCTAAAACCTATCACTCAAGTTTCTTTCGTGAACATTTCAATTTTTCACTAATAAAAATTATGTATATGCTAGGAGGAAGGATTAGGTGGGGCACAGCACAAAAAAAAAAAAAGTTGAGAAACATTGATTTAGAGGGTAAGATGATGGAATTTAAAGAAAAAGACACCTATTCAATTTTTAATCACAGTTGCATACTTGCCAAACTACAACACTCAAAAATCAAGAGAATTTTTCAATAACAAAAGGATTTTTTGAATAATAAAAATATGCAGAAACAAAATATATTTTTAATGATGCATTAACTTTAAATAGTAACTAATTATTATCTGAAAATAAAAATGTTTTAAAACGTTTTATAACTTTAAACAGCTTTTTGTTTTTTAGCGATTTTACTGCTGGGAAACATTTTTCTTAAAAAGCTACAGCATGACTCGATGCATTCAGAGGAAGGTTGCACTCCAGTAAAAAGGCAGAGAACAGGTATGCTGTATTATTAACTTTTTGGTCCTTTGTTTCCACAGAAAAGCTTTAATTTTTGTTCCCAGTACCATTCACGTTGTCCTTGTGTACGCATATGTTTAAGAACATCGGTCCTTCCACCGTGCACAATCGAAAAATCGCAATGGCAAACAATGCAGATTGTAATATTACATTTCCTTGACGAAATAATAGACGGAAAATCATCTGTGTACGATTTTTGAAAAGTACATGAGCATTTTACATTTTTCGCAGACATAATAACTAATGCAAAATTTTGCAGTTTTTAAAGCTGTTTCAGGAAAGCATGTGAAACTTACACTACTAACTGGCGAGACGAACAAGATAAACAACTACGGATCTTGCTTTGTGCTCATTGGCTAATATACGCTAAATGACCTGCAGCTGCGCTTGATTCCCAAGGAAGAATAGGAACACAACGTTTTCAAACACGTGTTTCGAACACAATGCAGAAACGCACTACATTTCAGGGATGAAACAAATTCAGTCATTTTTATATGTATCTAGAAAAAAAACAAGCGCTTTCAGACGCCAGAAGTCTCTTTTTTGCAGGCAAATAACGAAGTATTAAACCAAGCTACATAAAAATCGTGAGAAATTTTAAAGAATAAAAGAAAGTTGGGAGAAATACATTAAAAATCGGGAGAGTTGGCAACTCTGCAGTTGAGATAATTTTGCGGGTGATAGCGGTAACGGCCTAGCAATGGTAACACAGATGTAACTTGGACATGTTTACTATGTGCATGGAATGATGGACTTGGGAGACAGACGTGGCCGAATTCAACTTAATTTTATTACTGGATAAGCAGTTCTGCAAACACAATGTATGCTTCTCGCATTATCATACTCCAAACTTCTTCAGAAAAACTTGTCAGTTGTCAACACGTGAATGATATTTTTTTACAACTTTGAAAATGTGTGTGTGGCGCATGTTGTAATTAATCATTAATTGTAATCAATTTTATTACAATTAAAATCCATATACATATAAAAGTGAATAATTAAAAATATACCTTGTAAATTATATGCACATTTAATTAAAAATTTTCATTTAACTCCTTAAGCATGTATATCTAAATCTACTAATATATGAAAAAAGCAAGTATTTTAAATTACTACTAACCATAAAAACATCAGAATATATAAATCGTATATTTTTATTTTGGATTTGATTTCCACAGGGAAGTAAAATTTAAATAACCAAGAATATTGCATATAAGTATTAAAAAAATACTTGTAATTTATGAATGCAAAGATTTATATGTAGCATGCTTAGCAAGCTTAAGTTCTGATTTTGAGAATTTTTTTTTTTTTTTAATAGTTCTTCATTTGGCTGCATATTTATTTTTTCAATCAAAACTGCTAAGAATTTTAGGACCTAAATTTGGTCGAAATTCCGTCCGATTTTTTTTAAACAATAGAAAAAACTCTTTCACAAGCTGCATTTGAATGAGGTATTATTAAGACAGCAAGCATTTACAGTAGGCATTACTTTGTATTTCGTACACCCATTCATATTTTTCAATCTGGCAATTTCCCCCCTTGATATATCAATACACAAATCTGCAATTTCTTTCAAATCATCTACTTGATACATGAAAAATTCAATTTCCACTTGATTAAGATATTTTTCATAAATAATGGAAGGAAAAGTATCCATCAAGTAAAGAACAGAAGAAAATGAAACTTCAGTTCTCAAGTTGATGTCAGCAACTTCAGCATGTTTTAGAAATGGATCACTTAGTGGAAATTTATCATATATGACATGTAGTTACAAAAAAAGCTCACACAGAATTGAAAAATTATTTCATTTCACTTTCATTCAACTTGGCTTTTTTTAAATACAGTCTTGTTTCCACACCAATCACTAAATTCTCATTTTCTTTCTGCTTACTATACTTCTGAAATGGAATAGATGTTAAAGTAACATCTTCATTTTCTTTAGAAATTACTGATAGTTTTAGGAATCTAACAAATAAATTCATTAAAAGTTCAACAAGTTCTCTTCTTAATTTATGTATATAAGAAGCTTGTGGTTGCAAATTAATATTTACTCTTATAAATAAAGGCAAAGTATTTTTCAAAAATTACAAGTACAATTTGGTGGTAGGTGATTGCAACATTTTTTTAATGTTTTGTAATCTCTCTCTTTCGTTCTCACTGTTATCTAGTTGATTTCCAAAAAAATTTATCACAGCATCTCACTGTTCCAATATCCTTTTCATATATTCTAAAAGAGACAACTATCTCGTACTGAAATATTTCAAAATTTTATGAGATTTTGCATTCTGTCCCAAAATTTGTTGAGCAACTTTGAAGCTTTGCTTCCGTTTCGAACTTTTCTCCAAATAAAAATATATATTTATTAACAACATTTCAATTTCTGAGCCAATTAATTTGTCAGTACCCTTTTTTGCAGCTTTATGCAAAAGGTGGCATGGACAACCTCAGATGATCATATACTTGGTTGATGCATTTTGATAAACGATGCTACACCTTTAAACTTTCTAATCATATTACTAGCATTATCTGAAGAAAACGATAAGCAATTTTTCCATTCTAAAACTTTGCTTTTAAAGTTTTCATTTATACAATTAAAAATACTTTCTCCGGTATTAGTGCATCCTAAAATAGAAATCAATGACGTAATTATTACTCCCTTTTCTTTACTGTAATAGGTTATAATCAACGGGTACAGTTTGTTATCATTACTTCCATCAGTACTTAGAGAAAATGATGTATTGCACACCGATTTTATAATATCAGCAACAGTACTTTCTGCAAGCGTTTTGACAATAGCAGTTTTGGTATGACCGCAGCTAAATTTTTTTGCTACGGCAGAATCCAGAAACTTTGCTTTGAAAAGCTCTTTACAATGGTCCGAAACAGAAAGCGGTAGATTACGTTAAAAAAAAATAGCCTTCAGCTTTTATAGGATCCGTTTCGTTGTCTTTTATTAGGAAATTCGTTATTTCTTTAGATTTTACAGTGCCAAGTTCTATATGCTTTTGAGAACAAACATGTCATTTACAGTCATCTTTTTCGCCATGTGCAACTGAGAAGTCTTTGTTGCATACTGCAGTGTGTGTGATTCACAGAAATTCCGGATGCTTTAATGCATGGAAACTCTGAAGAATATGAATCTTTAAATTTTTGCTTTGATAATTTTGGCGTCTTCGTTTGAGGTAACATTATTAACAAAAAACTTCCACCTGATTCACAGTTCACAAGACATGCTAAGATCTCACCATAATCTAAACAATGGAGCAGAATGCAGCCTAAACATGCAGCAGCATGGAAACTATGAGACAGATGTTGCGGGGGAACTATTGACAAGTCATTAATGGTTGGAGTTACTGATCTACGATTGGCTATTCTTATAAACCAGGAATGCACCAAGTGCACTCAACACTTGATATAGGATGACACAAGTATTCAGCCAATCATTGGATGAATTGGTTCCATTTTGGGTACTGGTTTTCCTGCTTTGTTTCTGTAAAATCCATAGTTTTTCCCATACCTTTCGTTAACTCGTAGTTTTTCAAGAATTACCAGAGAAACTACGGAGAATCTGTAGTAGTTGGAGTCTCTGCATTATTATTATTAGTGCAACAGACAAACACACAATTTTGTATAAGCACTCACATTTTACACAATGCAGAATATCAATAAGAAGAGAGCCAGGTTATTCAAGGTTGAGCAAGTGGTAAAAGAGGATGTGCAGAAAGCAGCTGAAAGATTTATAGCTCATAAATTCTTTGAGTTCTTGATAGTGACTGTGTAAGAGATTTCGCTGCAGAATACTAGGTTTAACTGCAGATGTAAAAAGAGTTGTACAGGGTCCAGCAGAAATAACTCACAAATTTGCCACCAGTGTTTCTCTAGCACTAGCGGTGTGGCACGAGACAGGGTTGTGACATTAAGCAGTGTGTGTCTTACCATTCAAGTCTAATTACAACAATGTTGTGGGGCGGAGAACATCGTGGTTTCATCATTGAGATTTATTTTAAAAAAATGTTCGAAACGTATAGGCCCCAACGTTCGGCCTATAGACATACTGTTGCTATAGGTATACTGGTGTGCAGCACAAGAATTTTGCATGCAGACCTAAAGTTCCATCTTAACAAATTGGTGGTTGTGCAGGAACACATTGAACGTGATTGGGTCAACCGCATCGCATTATGTGAGGCTATGCTGCAAGGTACTGCTCCGAACGCCAGTGTGCTATCAAGTGATGAAGCTCACTTTCATTTGTCGGGTTGCGTAAACAAACAAAATTTTCATTACTGGGCCGAAAGCAATCCCGACAGGTTCATGGGTGATCTCTCCACAGCCAATGTGTAACTGTCTAGTCAGCTGTTGTTGGTTGCAATTTCTTTCTTTGGGGGGCACTTAAAGGCTCAAGTTTACAAACATAAGCCAAGAACAATTGAAGAACTGAAAGCAGTTATCCGTGGCAAAATTGTGGCAATACCACCAGACCTGACAGGAAAGGTTATGGCAGAACTTCAGAGAGAGGCTTTGAAAGTACATACAGCATGATGGTCATCATTTCGACAATGTAATTTTTAAAAACTAATTTAAACACCGTATAATGTAACAATGGTAAAGATTATTATATCAAGCTGTAAAATAAAGTTTCAATATCTCCGATCACTGATTTGTATTGACCTTTTAGATTAGGGAGTTATTTCTGCTGGAAAGTGTATTTATAGTTTCAGTCACAAATTAAAGATCTATTGTAAAAATCCAGTTAGTGAGTGTCTTTCACATTCTGTATTTTATGTATATACATATCTAAACAAATTCAGAGTAACATACATCAGAAGACATGTTCAAGCATTCCTGGAAACATTAAGAAAATGTTTCTTTTGATACTTGAACAAAATCAACAAATGCATACATATTCTGAGTTGGCTAGACTGCAGAAAAGCAATACTGATAACTGAACCTGTAAATGCAAATCAATTATAAACAAATTTCTTGGCTTATACTTCTACCTTGAAAGAAGAACCAAAAGCATATTTTTACCTTAAAATAAGCAATCTCCCCCCTCATCTTCAATGCATTAAAAATATGCTGGCACATTATAAAAATGCAGAAAATTTAAACTTAATAAAAATAAGTGAGATTGAGAAACTTTTCTATTTTCCTAATTAAAAAAAAATAAATAATAAAGACATTCTAATGAATGTGAAAAACTCGGACAAAATGTTGCGCACAGACTTTAAAGTTCAACCAAAATGAATGATAAATGGAATTAATGTATAAATTATTAGTCAAAATATGATTATAAATAAAACACCAAAATTAGTCTGTAAATATATTTTATATAAATAACTAGAATCACTGTAGCAAAATGATTCATTTTCATATTATTTTATACTGCTGAATGATAGCTCAAATCGGAGATATCTAATTAGCAAGAAACTAGTAACTTTCTAACTTTAAGTAATAATAATAGACTAGAAAGAAGGGATTTAGACAGTCCAGATAATGGACTTAAGATGTGCAAGAAACAGAGACTGGTCATTACATCATTTTCTGAACTCTAAATTGTCTGAAAACAACTCAAAAAGAGTACTTTGATAAAAGAAATCAACAGGAGCAGAGGATAAGGCTTCTAGCAAATTAAGATGGTTATGACACAATAGAACTTGTTTATTACTGAAGAAACCAAAGCTTTTAGAAAAAAGTCGATTTATTTTATAATACAAACTATTCTGACTTGAGTGGTTGTCATTTCCAATATCCTCTTGAAAACCAAATTCAGATACTGCAACTTTTATGCATACGGCATTTTGTGAACTGACAACATAAACAAGTTTCTTAAAAATGCCAAGTATGTCATACAGTTGAAGAAGAAGTTTGTTGTCAAAGTTGTGGAGCTTAAATAATTAACAGCAGAGCAAATGCAGCACAGGGACGAAGAAAGAACATAGAAATAAGTGTTAGCTTTATTTTGTTGAATAAATATACATTAAATACATAAAGCAGAATGAAAAAGCACTTTCTAAAACTTACCTTTGCTGGTCCTTTTTGGTTCATGACTGCAGTCTGAGGCGTAATACTAGGTATTTGTGGAGGAGGATGACTTTCATTAGAATGTATAGAGTTCACTTTGGTATTGGTAAGAACTTTATCTACAGAATTGACATTCTTTTTCGGTGCTTCTGTTGCTGCGCTTGCAGCGTAGCTATTTGATCTAAGATTCTGACTGATACCTGTTGAACTAACTGCTGAGGCAGATAATGTTGTAGTAGAGTTCGTACTTCCAGGGACAGTTGTGGGAGACACAGTACTGCTGGATGTAGACATTGGCGATTTCTGTGAGGACTGGACGGCCGAACTGAATTTGTAGAAGCATCTTTTGCAGATGTTGAGTCCACAGAATTAACTGAAACATGGAGATAAAATAATAAATCTCCACAATCAGTCCTTCATGCATTATAAAATATACACATAGATGAACTACAGTCCTAATTTACTACCTGGAAAATTAAGAATAGTTTTGAATATGTTAACATTTAAGACAACAAAGATCAAGATTTAAACATGCCCGTTTAAAGTAAGCAGCTAAACATAATTTTCCAAAGTGAAGCCAAAAGAATTAAATGAGTTCAGACACTTTGGTTAACAAAATTACTAAAAACAAACTAATTTGTAAGTTATAAAATCCAATTTTACTGCTGCTCAAATAAGCTATCCTGCTTATTTTAAATATATGGTTTTTTTTACTAGACAAAAATTTAAAGCTAATAAGTTCTGAAAGTATATTTTGACATTTCTTTTTTAAAAGACATTTTATTTTTAAATTCAGACAGATGTTTGAAAATTTCAGACAAATGGTTTTCATTTTTACTTTTTATGACCGACCACTTAATAATGCAGCCCAGTTTTAAAATAAATATCAAGCTTTTCAAACTTATCTCATTTTTTATAATATAGAAATTAAATGACAGAATGACAGCAGTCAGCAAAATACTATGTCATGGTTATGAGCTTTCGAAAATTCATATAAATTTCGTAATGTTTCCAGAGGAAACAAAAAGCACAGTACGCACTTGGATTTTTGGGTCACATCTCGATGCCCAATTTTATAATCTTTCTTTGGTACTTTTCTGTTTCACCGGCGCTAATCTCGCCAAGCAGACTTTATTGGTGACAACATACAGTATACACATAAAAAATTTTAGTTCTTAAGAATTTTTTATTTTGAAGGCATAAACATTTTAATATCGTTTAAAATTTTGTAAAAAGCCATAAATAAAGACAATAAATTTGTAAAAAGACATTAATTTAAGAATTTACTATGTTTTTATGGTTCAACATCCTGATTCGCCAGTTCATATCACATGACCCCAAGTGATCTCATCTTATGTAAACTACACTACAAAAATCTAATTCTCTCAGTAATTATCTACATTAATTTTAAGTTAAATCTTAATTGGGAATACCAGTTTAAATAAAAGAATTATTTCAATTCTTACGAATAGCTTACTCAGAAATTATGTGAAACCGCAGTGCTTTACTTTGCTAGTGCATTCTCATTAGAATTGATGAATTTAACCTTGAATTTGCCTTTTCTATATTTTAGCTTTCGGGTGAGCGGCATGATTGCATCCAAACTGACCTACCATGAATGCCCTTAGGGCATAAAATTGAACTATCTGGTAAAATTTCTTTGTAATTGTATACCAGTATTAAAAGAAACAATCAATGTGATAAGAAATGGCTATGACTTGTTTTGAAAATGAGGCGAAAAAGGTTATCAGCGAGGATATTCCGTTTGGCATCAATTGTACCATTATTGGCGACTTTATCGCCTGCACCGGCAAAACGAAAAAGTAATAATGCAGGCCAGTTTTAAAATAATTATCAAACTTTTTAAACTTATCTCGTTTTTAATAACATAGAAATTAAATGACAGAATGACAGTGGTCAGCAAAATACGATGTCATGGTTATGAGGTTTAGAAAATTCACATTAATTTCATAATGTTACCAGAGGAAACAAAAAGCACAGTACGCACTCTCATTTTTGGGTCACATCTAGATATCCAATTTAAAAATCTTTCTTCTTAGAGAATCAAAAATGACATACATGCAAATAAAAATGGGCACTTCTTAGTTAGCAGGAAAATCTCATTCTGATAACTCAAGGTAAAGTTGCAACAAGAATGTTTAATGATTAAAAACACAGTAGCAAAATGATTCCTTCCCATATTATAGTTCGAATTGGTAGTTAAAGTTCAACTATCCACTCTTTAAAAAAAAAATATACAAAGAGACGTTTTAAGAATGAACTACAGTAGACTCCCAATTATCTGCGCCTGCAGCACAAGTTTTTTTTTTTTTTTTTTTTTTTTTTTTTTGTGTGTGTTCAGTGCTTGTGCTTTTTTTTGTTTTTTGTGTTTTTCGTTACCGAATTTAAAATGTCATGGAAAACGAAAAGAAGTTTGTTTTGACGAATTGCGCAAAAACTAGGAATTAATTTCAAAAGTATCAAACGGCGCTACAAGGCAGCAGATGGAATTGGATTACGGAATATGCTGAAACAACAGTGCGTGACATTCTAAAGCATAAAAGACAAACTCGGTGAACTTTGCATCAATGTCGGACAGTGCTTCCGCAATAATGAAAACGCGAAAAACTATGAAGGGTTCTACCTTTGATGAGCTAGACACGGCAATTGACAGAGTGGTTAGCTCAAGTTCGAAAAGAGGGTACTCCTGTAAATGGTCCTATCATTGTGGCGAAGGCAAAAACCTTTTTTGATGTTGTTATGGCCTGAAAGGAAAATTTTGATGCGTATTCTGGCTAGGTTGACTCGTTTTAAGCAGCGACATGGAATTCGAAGCAAATTGGAACTTCAATGGGGAGACAACTTAGTAGTGACCAACAAGCAGCCAACGATTTCCACCATGAATTTGAAGAATTTGTTTTAAAAGAAGAGGTATCTTTTGAACAAGTTTACAAATTGACTTTTGTGGAAATTGGGACTTTTGTGGAAATGTCTTCCTATTCGCACTTTAGCATTTGAAAGTGAAAGTAAAGCGGCGGTCATAAAAGTAGCAAGGAAAGGATCACTATCATGTCTTGCAGTAACGCTACCGGTGGACATAAACTTAGACTTGTTGTCATTGGAAAGTTAAAAAAAAAAAAAAAAAAAAAAAAAAAAAAAAAAAAAAAAAAAACAACGAGATCTTTCAAAGGCACAAGGATAGAAAATTTGCCCATTGATTACTTTAACCAGAAAAAAGGATGGATGAAACGAAACATTTTTCAAGAATGGTTAAAAAAAAATCTTTGTTCTTCCAAGTGCGTAAACATCTTAAATCGAAAAACACCTTGCCTTGAAAAAGCTGTGCTATTGATCAAAACAACGCGCCTTCTCACCCAGCAACAAGCATCCTACAGTTTTTTGATGGACAAATTTTTGCAAAGTTTCTCCCTCCAAACGTTTCTGCGCTAATCCAACCCATGGACCAAGGAGTCATTGCAACAATGAATGGAACATACCGAACCAAGCTGCTAAAGACCAAAATTGAAGAAGGTTGTGATTTGAAAGAGTTTTGGAAACACTGCACAATCTTGGCAGCATCTATGATATTGCATCTGCATGGGACTCGGTGAAACCGTCAACCCTCATAAAATCATGGAGAAAACTCATGCCTAATGTTGAAGCCAACAACAGCCTAACCCCTTTGGAGTTGTGAAGAAGAGAATGAAGATGTAGAGACGCCCATAGCAACTGTTGCCGATATGGTGAAAACAGTTCTGGGTGGCGAGAACGTCGATACTGAAAACATTAACGAGTTGTTGGAGTGTGACGTCAACGAACCTGGCTTCGAATGCTTGACAGATGACGAAATTGTGAAGAAAGCAAGGGGAAAGACCGAGAATGAAGGACAGCGAAGTGAAGGCGGAGAAGAGCCCACTGTGCAGATGCGGAATACTCACGAAGGGGCTTTGCAACAAGTCGGTGGACTGCTGAGCTATTTGGAAGAACAAGACAACGCAGAGTTGACCGAGAAAACTTATGCTACGAAAAATGCAATCTCGGATCAAGAGAAAATGCTTCCAAAGCAAAAAGCAAACACAAATGACTGATTTCTTCAAAAAGGTGTAGTTTTACAGTTATGCTTTTGTAATTACATAATACATTACAGTATTAAAACAGTACATACTTATTAATTTTTCTGTGTATCCTTGACGCCTCTTGTAAGTATACAAAGCACTTTTCTGTTTTCATTAACAAAGTGCATTTTAGGTTAGTTTTGAGTCATATACTAAAATATTAAGCATTAGTTAAACATTTCCTGTGGTTTATTTTACGTTTTATTGTACATAAAACGATTTTTCAAAGTTGGAATGACTGTTTTCTCTTTTGCTATACCCGTTTTTAGCTTTTTTTTGGATTATCAGCGATTTTTGTTATCCGCGTGGCCACGCCACCCAATTCCGCAGATAATCGGGAGTGTACTGTACTAATCATAAGTTTAAAATGAATGATTATTTTCTATTAATTAGTTTTTCTTAAGACATTTATAATATATAAATTTTTTAAAAAATAATGACAAATAATAATTGCTACTTTTCTGTTAACAGGAAGTCATATGGCACCAGACATAAATATTGGTGCAAAATTTAGTTAGTGACAGGAATGACAATCCTAACGATATATATATATATAACTCCATGAAAAGAAAGACTATTACATCCAAGTAAAAAAGACTAAAAAAGAAAGACTATTACATCCAAGTAAAAAAAACTAAAAAAGAAAGACTATTACATCCAAATAAAAAAGACTAACATAGAATTCACAAACAAGAACATATGTAACTATTCCAATCAATAGCTGTAATGGATAGAATTGTACCAGCGTGAGCTTGACACCAGAAGTAATTAAACTAAATGGCTATTGGGAGGGGGCAATATGAGCCTTTGAATCAATATCCATTCTGTAGACCTTTCACTGCTGCATGATTTTGCAATAGTATTAGAAGAAAACTTCATTTTATGGTTTTCAAAAGTCTTCCAAGAACACAACCTTTGATTTTCACAATTTAATTATGATTCCTCTTCAAATATCAAAGTCTCAAAAGTCAAATGAAAAATTACGGTATTAATATTTATTCACTCTACTTATTCATACCCACATCATTCTATAAGTTACTCATAAGGTGAAATGACCACGTTGGCTTCCTTGACAACCTGTTGACATGGTACTATGACCTGTTGATTATAGCCCTTGGCATAGATGTCTTCGTGGCAAAGGTCCCTTAACCCTCTTAGTGTTATTGATGTAAAATTCCATACAGAAGGGTTGACTTTTTTATTCATTACAGATGAAAGTTTCTGACAGCTTTTAATGTATCCGCTTTTGGGCTGCATATACATTGGAAGAAAAAGGAATCAATGTACAAAGTGACACTTTTTTTTTTTTTTTTTTCCTAATTTATAATCAAGAAAATATTTCTTCATGACATTTTGAGAACTTTAAAATTTCAGGGCTAAACCCATAATGCTCAGAGAGTTAAAATACTGTCAAGCTGCAAGACCTCTTAAGAGGTTTGGTGGCAGGGAAATAGCAGTGCCTCAGATTGGTCCCTCAGGGAATTCTTCAAAACTGGGCACCTATAAGATGGCAGAGGTCATCAACAACATGCCTGCCTGTGGATTTCATCCAATGTCACTGTCAGAAAAGGGATATAAGTCACAAAAACAAATAGGTGAAGTAAACAGGTTACACATTTAAGGCTTTAACCCTTAACTTCCCACTGTTGCATTTCTGCAACATATGATTTATTTTAATTTAACAGAGTACTTTTTTTAATTACCTACAAATCACTTATCTAAGAAAAAAAAAAAAAATTACTGCAACAAAATACATGCTAATTTTGTCACTAGATAGCAGCACATTTTTTCCAGAAATCACAATAATTATAAAAATCTCTGTTGCCTCAAGAACTGTGTTTTTGCTATAAAAAGAATCCATTATATTTTATGCTTCCTCTTGTTTATTGACGAAAACAATTACCAGGTAAGAAAAGTTTCAAACATTTTTATGTACATTTAAAAGTAATTTTGATTTTCTAATGGAAAAAGTTTTGAAAGAAATTTGATTTTAATTATATGTTGCAGATCTGCAACATTGGTCTTGGTTACCATTTTGACATGGCCAAAACGCGTATACTAACCCAAGATGAAATTGCTAGATATATGAATAATTTGGATGAAAATTAAGTGATTTAAGTGAGGATGGTCTTCGAATATTCTGCTGATAATGTTGATTTTTTACCTGATTGTGTGTCATCTAATGATGATGATTCGGATAGCGACTGTGCGAAAATAGTGTTGTTTCACAAAATATACAATTCAGAATATAAAAAAATCCGATGATGATGATAATAAATTTGATAGAAATATTTCAGTCAGTGTGTGTGTGTGATTATGGCAAAGCCTCGAGAGCTATCTGCCTACGGGGAGGGATGCCTTCGTGGAGGATTTTCTAAGGGAAAACTGGCTTGTTATACAAGTTACACATGGGGAAAACCACGAAAACGACCATGCAGCCCGTTCGCAAGATTCGAACCTCGTACCAAACTACCAGTGTTCAGGCACTTTACCGCTCGACCCCTGGTGTATTTCAGTCAGAGACCTTTTTTAAATTTAACTGTTAAGAATATAAAAACATTTCAAAGAATATTTTATGGAAAAATCAAAACATTTTCATTGAATTGAAGAAGTAATAAAATTCCATGGAGATGATACACGCTCCCAAGAGAAATTAATGGATTTGGACACACCCATGTACCAATTTTTTAAAATATTTATGGACGGACGAGATCATAAGTAACATTTATGAAGAGGAGCAAACGATATGCTATTCAAAAGAAATCCAAGTAAGCCTTTGACTATATCAGAGAATGAAATAAAATCAATATTTGGGTATTTGTTTTTATGCATCTCTAGTTCACCTGCCAAACTATAGAGCATACTGGTCAGAAGAGCTTGGATTTGATCAGAATTAAAGAAACAATGAAGAAATCTGAAAAAATTAAAAAAATAATTAAAAAAAAAATCTAATGAATTTACAAAAATGATCAAATCTGAAGTTGCATCATGCTTATGCAAAATGGGGTACAATCGAAATGCTAAAAGAGGAAGATCCTAGTAATACTTCAATAGAACAAATGTCCCAGACTAAAAGATGCAAAGGGACTGCCCAATCCGTTCCATGTAAGGACATTCGTAGAGATGGTATAAATCATTGGCCAATATGGTCAGAAATAGAATACGGTGCAAGTTTCCAAACTGCAAGAGCTACACTCAAACTGAGTGCGTGAAAAGTGTAAAGTAGGGGACGTTTTACAACAAAGTCAATAACTGCTTTAAAAGTTTTCATTGTATGTAAGGCTAAAGCAATTTATAACAATGAATATAAAATCCTCATATAAAAAAAGTTTTGTAATTTTACAGCACTACTGCGCAATGTTGCACTTCTGCAAACAAACAAAAAAAATGACTGAAATTCAATTTAAAAACTGCTTAGTTTTTTTTAAATATTTTTCCCTTTTATTATTACTTAAGAAGTAGCTAATATAATTTTTTCATAGAAATTTAAAAAATTGGGAAGTTAAGGGTTAAACAGAATTACAATTGGCACTTTATTAGCCAAAAAGGACCATAAATTTCCATAGCATAATGAAAACGTTTAGCCAATATAGAATAGATATGAAAATTAAACAATTTCTTACCACGAGTGCCTTTTCCTTTTTTCCCCTTTCCTTTTAAACCAGGATTCTTTGGGGCAGGAATAGGTAACTCTGTCTCCTGAAAAAACAAAACACATCCAGTTCACATGTCAATCAAAATCAATAAAAATGAAGAAAACTGTAGTATTCAATGTTAAAAAGTATGAATATTTGTGCACTAAATTTGAACACAATGGCAATTTATATATTTACATGAAATATTAAGTACACACTTCTTATATACACAGATAGATAAAGTGTGATTAAATACTTCTTGTATGCTATAAAAAAGGACTTTTTTTATTTTTAGTAACAGTCTGTACTTTATGTTGCATAGTATATTGTATATGCTACATAACAAAATTCTTTTGCTGTATAATCAACTGCAGTTTTTTTAGTAATTAACATTTATTAAAATTATTTTAATATTTTTAAATCTGTGAAAATTTTTGCCTTTTGCAATGATCTATTTGTACTTTCCCCCCCCCCCCCCCCGCAGAAAAATTTAACATATTATATAACACATTATGCATACTTTAAGTCAATGGGACCAACTTCTGGACATGATATGGAAATTAAAAGTAAATCCAATAAATATCATCACTGATAAGCATATTACCACTGATAAGCATATCATCACTGATAAGCATTATTACCTGTGTGGGTTTTTGGATATGTCATGAAGACGTATGTTTAAATGGCTTTATTAGCTAAATTTGTATATTTAATTATTTTAGTCTACTTTCATAAACTTACATTTATTAAGATGAAATTTATATTATTAAAGAAAGAAAGCAAAATATCTTAAATTACAAGCTAATTATATTAGCTTATATGTGACCAAGTATACCAAGTGACAAAATCTCATGACTGGATAAACACGGTCATGGCACTCAGATGGTTTATGTTTATAGCATACAATTTATTTTAATTCTCTCTCATATAAACTCTGATGAGAAACAGACCATTATGTATACATACAAGCAGTTCATTCAATGTCCATAGCACACACTTTATTAACTACAGCATAACAAAATGATACAGCACTTTATTAACTATAGCAAAATGATGATTGAGATGGAACTTCCAGTATGTCAACACAATATTAATGAAAAATAGTGCACGAAAATTTTCCTAAATGCACATGAAAAAATTTATAGAACATGACTGCTTTTGGTAACAAAATACATTCTGTTTACCATTTCCATTTCCATTTGCTTCAACTTGTTCTGATTGTTGCACTGATTAGCACTTCCAGTAATCTGCAAATAATACTGAACTCTCTGCCATAATGACAGCAATTACCTGCAACAAAATTTTTCCATTCCAGTCTTTAACCATCTTTAAGAAACACTTGTTTGCTTTGTGACAAATGCCACCAACACTTCACTGTTCTGAAAACAATACCTCAGCACGGTTCTTTTGCTTTAAATAAATTTTATTGACTTCTACAATTTTATTTTCTAAATTTAATTATTTTCTTTCTTATTAAGAATATAATTTCATGTAGCTAATTATACCAATCAACAGCTGTGTCTGTTATGATGCATCGAGTTTTCTTTCATAGTAAAATACTGGAAAACATCAACTACAAATGAATAATAATATAGTCAGAAAGGATTACTAACCTGAAAATAATTTTTAACACACAGACCAGTCTTTTGTTGGCAGCCTTACAGATCTTCGTTAACTAAATTCATCATGCAGCCATTTCACCAAGTGTTTGCTTTAAATTGAATACCCATCTCCCCCCCCCACAAAAAAAACATATAGCTTCTGGATCTATCTGCAGTGAATTCTTTAAATAATAGCTTTTTGTTTTGCTTTTATTAAACTTAACTGAAGGATTACAGGTAAAGTAGTGTGTAAAATGAACATGCTTAACCCTTAAGCAAGGTTCGTACACATTTCCTTACATGAAAATTAAGGACTTTTAAGGACCATCAAAGAAAAAATTAAGGACCTATCAGCAAATCAAAAAATGAATAGAATAAAGCAATTATCCATACAACCGACTTCATGCTTGTAATTTCACTTTAAGAAACTAACAGAAGTGTGTATTATGCACTATTATTAAATTCAATTTAATACTTACCATAAAACAATTTTGAAAATTAAACTAACTCCCTACAAGTTATGAAGTAGATAACATTAAATTAGGAACATAATTTCTTGAAAAACATGTATAAGTATTTTTTTACACTAATAACAGTCACTATTTTAGAGATTTACATGATTATTATTTAACTTATTTTGATATTTATTTAAACACAGTCAACTACTATTATAATCACAATGTAAGAATATTTTGCAGATTAAAATAACTGATTTGTAAAACATACAATTTATTTCCTTTGGTTTTTGAAAGATACTAGAATAATAAACTGTACAATAAAAGATACAAAACATTTGTGCTTTTTTTTAAATCTGAAATCTTTTCAGCTATTTTAACATCTAATTTATTTATGTCTATTTCCTTTTCTTTAACTATTCTAAGTTCATTTGCTTTGATAAACAAATCAATGTTCCTGCTGGTCTCAGCTTCATCTGCTAAAGCATCTACTTCTTCATTAATATCTTTAATGTCCCTTTGAAGAAATTTTTTCTTCTGCTTCATATAATCAATTTCTTTTCAATAATATTTCTTTTCCTCTTTGAATTTTTCAGATTTAGTTAAAGATTTTGTTCTTCTAAATACTGAACTTCTAAATAACGAACTCCACTTCTTGCAGAAGCTGCTGCTGATCTCATTTCTTTATTAATTTCGATATTAAGAACACCTCCAGAAAATTTTATGTAATCAAATACTGTGCGTTGAAAAATGTATGATGAGTCACTTAAATTTTCAATTTCAATTGCTTTATTTACAGAGAAGCCTCTTTCCACAGAGGCCTGTTCATGTGACAAGATAAGAATACTTGTCACAGTGAATACTTGAATAGTGAAAATATACATTTTTACTATATATATTATATATTCTTTTATTATATATATATTCGTAATTTCTATTTCCATCTATTTTTTATTTTTATCTTTATTGCTTGTTTCTCATTTAATTAGTATTTTCCTTTTTGATTTAATTCTTAAATGTTAATTCTAAGAGTACCACTTTATGGAATTACTTTTAGTTTTGACTTTACCCTTGCCTGATGAACGAAACCGAATTGAATTGGAGAGTTAGGTTTGGAGGCAACTTCCCCTTGATAAGTCTGTCTCCTGCTACTCTACGATCATTCACATATGCATTTTAAAAAAAAAATTGTTTAATTTAATTTTAATTTATTAAATTAGTAGATTTATTTTCATGGATAGTTGACACTTGATTTGCTTATGCTCTGAATTTAAAACATTTAGATTATTCGAGAATTAAATCTTTATAAAGAGGCTTTTCTAATTTTACCATAAACCGATTATATTATCTCCTAAGTTTAATTAAAGTAGAATTATTTTAAAAGAGTGAATCCATACTGGTAAGTTATATTTTGAAAGATGTATATATATATATATATATACAGTACAAAGTCCGAGATCCGGACATCCAATATCTGGAATGATCTAAAATCCGGACCTCAAAGCCACCACCAACCAATTTTTTAGGGCTTTTTTGAAGGGAAGGGGTATGCTTTACGCATGCGCATTAGATTTTTTTCCTCATCATAAAAAAACATGCCGGAAATCCCGATTCTTAATCTCAGTTTGGCGCTAAATAAAATATCTCATTATTGAAGAAATAATTATTTTAGCATAAATTTGTGTGATTAGTAACTTGACTCCATAGCTGCGTATCTGCTTGGCATAATCTCAAACCGAAACATTTGTTAATTTTACACCAACTAATATTTTATATCCTTGATGCCGAAATCGCGAATCATTATTTATTGTATTTTGCTTTCATCACCGCATGTTTATCAACGGATGACAACTTGAGTGATGAATCATGCAGCGACGCCAAATAACAGAGTATTATCCGATTACAGATTTAAGTTTAATGCGCTAAAATGTTGACAAGGGGAGATTTAGCAGAAATTTCTTTCCTTATGCTAAAAATAGATTTTGTTAATGATACTCATAGGACAAACGATTATATTTAGTGCTATTTGAATTAAGAATAACTGATTTGTTATTCACATAAAGCCAGAACCAGCGCCAGAGCTCGCATGGCCGCACCAGGCGGCAGAATTTAGCGAAGTTAAACAGAAGTTTTTCATTGCGATGACAATGCCCCAATCATCAATCAATTAACGGAGGGCGAAATCTGTAGTATGGTTCTAAATCCAGAAAATACAGCTACCGATAGTGAAGAAAGTAACAGAGAGGTTACTGAACGAGAAAAAATTTTGATTGACAAGTTATTCGGAATTCTCGACACAGCAATTACAGGACTTGAACAATGGAACTTAATAACTGAACAAGAAATTATATGTCTATAGTATTAGTCTAAA